TCCAGTTCTTATTCATCCTTTTCATATCTGCCTCTATTTCACGATCTAATGTGTTTTTTGGCCTTCCTCTTTTCCTCTTCCCTTCAGAATTCCAAGTTAGTGCTTGCTTCGTGATACAGTTTGGTAATATCCGTAATATATATTCTATCCATTTCCATCGTTTTTTCCTAAATTCCTGTTCAGATGGAAGCTAGTTTGTTCTCTCCCATAGTTTGCTGTTTCTGATGGTATTCAACCAATGGACGTTGAGTATCTTACGTAGACAACTATTTATAAATACTAAATTCTAACAACCAGCGCAACAATTTTTATAGGTGAAATGAATACAGTGAAATAATAAATATAAATTTCGAAAGTATCTCATTTAATTCATTAATTAAGATTATTATCTAAACTATTCAATTTCACAGAAGAACAACTGTACATTCACCAAAATAATTCTACATATGCAATAATGTAAACTGAAGTACTTGAAATGCTTCATTACACTTTAAATTTTCTAATTCAATATACATCCAACTGATAGGTCCCAAGTAAAACAAACAGCATATCATGAATTGCACTACTACCTCTATGTTCTGTGTATTTAAAAAAAAAAGATACAAAAACATACTTATGTCAAAGTAATCTGTACAAGATTTATATATGTCAACAAAATCTGGTCAAAATACACTTGTGTATATTAACAAACTGATGATATAAACACTTATTAATAATCATATAAACAATATATCTGTTAAACAAATTAATAAGATTAGAAGGGGTTTTGTGGAGATTTTAGTAATTTCTTTAATTGAAATTATGAATCAATTGAAGCTAGACCACCATAGAAAACCTGAATTTGAATTTCGCAAAAGAGGTGGGATCGTGGATTCGCACTGTTGAAGAGTCCCATACTAGGACGAAACGGCCATCCAGTGCCCCCAGGTTTTGCATGGTGGTCTAGCTTCAATTGACTCATGATTTCAACTATTGAAATTAATAAAAGTTTGAACTTAATAACTTAGTAAATAAAAAGTTACAATTTGAAATGATAAACATTTGCTCAAAGTTCAAATATAAATATTAATACATAAATACAAGTACATCCAGTTGATAAACTTTATATAAAATTAATATACGTGAATTTTACTACTAATTACAATTGAACTATTTGAACGAAATAGTTTTAATTTTAGAATATCAAGTTCAAAGTTCATGAGAATACTATTTAATATGTTATACAAACTATCTACTACTATTTATACATTTGGTATATTTATAAAGTTTTTAAGAATTCAGGGTTATAATTAAATTAACTAACGTTTATATGATTATCATTTTATTAAGTATCAAATGACAGTATGATTTAATTAAATAAACAACAAATTTAGATCGAATTTTTTCTAAAGGACATCGAAGAAGCACAAACAGATCTTCCTGTAAATGTTACCACAACAACAATTAAAGAAATCAATATGACCATCAAACAAATCAAGAGTGGGAAAGCAGAAAGACCACACAGCATACCGGTTGAAGTGATGAAGTCAGACACAGATGTAACAGTGAAGATATTCTACGTTCTCTGAGAAAGATTTGGGAGGTAGGACAATTATCGACAAACAGAAACGAAGGACACCACTCAGGCGCCTTCCTTGTTTGTTTTAACACATTATTATATCAATTAATTACATAACTCATTCATGTGCATTTATGAAAAGTTGATGACATTTCTCTGTGCTAGATATAAAAATATACAACCGGATACATCGAGATTGCTGGCATTGTGCATTGAAATGAATGAATATTATTCAGATGTCAACTTCTTAAATGATAATATCTAACTAGTCACCACCCACTATTTACCGTCTGGATCGATCAAAAAATAATAAGAAAAGGTATGTGTTGTTCTGAGAATTCTATCTTGTACTAAAAATATAATATTGAATAAAGACACTAGTAATAATAGGAAGTAAAAGAAAAGTGTATATTTCACTGTAGCTTAGAGTGCATACCAATGACCATATCATCAGTGTAATCTGAAATATTGAAGTTTAACATAGAGTTTATTATTTTTAAATTAGTAACTTGACTTAGGTGTATACACTCTCTGTCTTCTCTTCTTTCTACGAACTAAATCTTTCCTTCCGTACTTTATTCTTATATGCAAACTTTCTTTTATATATTGGACCCATTGAATTAACTACTTCTATGAATTCGGTGTTCATCTTGCTGTGCTAATGAGGTATGACAACTTAGACCAAGGCACATATGTGCCTGGTCCTACGTTGTAGCTGACTGACTATAGTTGGAATTCACTGTATCCTAATTCCAATATTAATTAATTGACAAGAAAATTTGTTTACCATCTATTGTCATTGGTGATAATTGTCTATATTTTAAACTATCACAACTTCATTAATTACGGCAATAAAGTTTTTATAATCAGTAGCAAAGAATATTTAGGTAAATAAGAAGTTATAGCAAATAATAATTACTAAACATTTTTAACACAAATACCATTTAAACAAACTATGTGAAACTAACTCTTGATAGAATTAGATTGATATCACGAATGAATCAATGTTAGATCGCAACTGAATATCTGGAAGCACTGGACAACCTTTTCGTCCTAGTATAGTATGCTTCAAATGTGCACATCCATGGTCCCGTGAGAGAATGCTTAAACTTTAGATCCCTGAGTCGACATCCAACGGTGTTAATGTCTAACTTCTTAGTATATTTTAGTATTCACTAAAATGTTCATTATTATAATATAAGAAATTAAACTATAGCACTTTATATTTGGATTAAAAACTTGAAAATTATGATAAGCAACCAATATACTATTATCATATATATAAGCTTTAATAGTTAATATATTTTGCTTTGAAGTGATTGATTTAAACTAATTCAGTTATTTGAAAGGGACTTAGTGAAAAAGTTATTCTTCAATTACCTTCATAGTATTCAGTAGAACGCTTAAGTTATTAGTATTGGAAAAGAAATTAGTCATCTTCCAATTAAAGACCTGTTACTTTATTAATAAATATTGCGTTTATAGATTCCTGGGAGATGTGTAAACTTTCACAAACCTAGATAGAATCATCAATGAATAAGAAGGATGTGATGTGAACGTAAAGACGAGGATTGGTAAATTAAGGGCAACATTCCTACAATTGAAGAACATATGGAACTCAAAACAACTGTCAACCAATATCGAAGTCAGAATCTTCAATACGAACGTCAAGACAGTTCTACTGTACGGAGCTGAAACTTGGAGAAATGCTACAGTCACCACCTACAAAGTAAAAGTATTTATAACTAGTTGTTTACGAAAGATACTCAATGTCCGTTGACCGGAAATCATCAACAACAGCCCACTGTGGGAGATAACAAACCGGAATCGACCTAAAGAGGAAATTATGGAATAGTTTTGGAAGTGAATAGGACATACATTGAGGAAATCATCAAACTGCATCAGGAGGTAAGCGCCAATTTGTAATCCTAGGGGAGGGAAGGAAAATAGGAAGGCCAAAAATCGCACTAAGCCGGGAATCGGAAGCAGTGTAGTGTCGGTTAGGTTAAGCCTACATAGCTTATTTTATTTGGGTCAAAATCAATAATTAAATGAAGTGGTAAGACAGAACGTGTTCATAACAGATTTTTCAAAATTCTCATTACAACTTGATGTCAGGTACATGTTTATTTGAAAATTATGGAGAACTGATTTGCCCGAAAAAAACTGACCTCTAGTACAACATATGAATTTAACACCAAATTACTTAAATCTTTCATCTGTGTTGTATGATAACTTCTCCTTTGTGTTCACATGGGTTATTCTAGCTTCCAGACATACCGATTTGTTTATTTTTCATGAGCCACATTTTGACCCTGTCAGTTATCCGCTTAATAACCTCATTGAATCACACTTCATCTAAACGAGTTAGCGCACTCACTTCTCTTTGTTATTCCACTTTTGATTTTGAATATGTCTGAATAAACAAGTGCTTGGAATAAATTCATCCAACTCAACCTGTATTTAACTTCTTAGTACCGGCATCACACAAAAAATGGGGTTAGGCTAGAGTGTTGTAATATACGAAGTTAAACGGAAGATATGATGTTCATAGCACTATTCTATACGTCTATTCAAATTGGAATCAAATCAGTTGGTCACAAAAAAAGTTACTTAAAATAGTAATATTTACAATATCTAAATCAAACAGTTGATTACACTTTAATTCTCAGTCATGTATTACTTAATTCTACTTATTAATATCTGGAGAATTTCAGTGAAATATTAGTCCCTCTATTATTTATTCAGTTATTTATATGATTGATCTGTCCAAAACTCAAACACATAACAACAATTTTAATGGTTGAGATCATGAGTTAATTGAAGCCAGACTACCATAGAAAACCTGTAAGCTCTGGACAGCCGTTTCGTCCTAGCATGGGACTCCTCAACACTGCTCATCCACGATCCCGCACCCCGCGAGATTCGAACCCAGGATCTATCAGTCTCGTGCCAAGAGTGAAATTTCTAAAATCTTCACAAACCCCTTCTAATATTATTGTTTTATTGAGTCTAGACACACATGATAATTTTGTTTCTTTATCATTGAACTTTATGTAATTGATCTAAACAAAATAGAATTAAATAAGATTGAATTAATGAAGTAATTGAAATCACGTTTACATTACATTACATTGCATAATGATTACTGACAATGTGATACTAATTCACACCCACACACACAACATACATATATACATACATACACAAGTATACAAGTATGTAATGGTAGACATGTATAAATATCAACATAACCTTGACCTACCAATTTATTAATTAAACCTGACATAGATACATATAAATATATAAATGTGATAGAATTTACCAAAACATCAAACCAAATCACTTTTCTATCATCATACTTATCATTATAAAATTCTAATTGAAACAAACAATAGTGTCCATCTTCAAACGGATTTGAATTTTTCCCCCTTCCAAAAACAAAAAAAAGAAGAAAGCAAAACAATGAATCTCTTATGGAATTCTAATAAATCATTATCAAACTCATCTATCAATCATGATTTAGAAGTGATTGTTGTTGGTTTAAATAAAACTGGAACTAGTTATTTAAAATCTGCATTAGAAATTTTATATCATGGTACAACATGTTTACATTATACTGATTTAATTTATCAATCAAATGATATAATAGAAAAATGGTTAGAATTACATTTATGTCAATATCAAACAAAATTAAATGGATTTCATTATAATAAACAAGAATTATTAAAATTATTATTAAAAAATTATAAATCTGTATCCGGTATACCAATTACATCATTTTTAAATGATTTAATACAAATGTATCCTAATGTGAAAGTAAGTTGATTGTGTGTGTGTGTGTGTGTGTGTGGTTTTTGTTTTATTTTGATGTATGCTTCTATGAGTGAAAGTGTGGACACTACTGCTACGGGTAACTGGTTGCAAGTATTAATGATTCGGTGTGAAAACTTGTAGACTACGGGTATTTTGTTCGTTCTTGGCTCCGATCTAGTGGGATGAAAAAGAGAGAATATGTTAGGTCTATAATTATTTCTTAGTATTCTATGTATCAAAATTAGATGTCACTTTAGTCTGTGATAGGACAGAGTAAAGAGGTCTAACTATTCAAGCCGCTCTTTGTATGGTAAAATTCGGAGTTCTGGAATTGCACGGATAGCTGCCATCTGTACTTTTTCCAGGATATCCGACTCAGCTTTTAAACAGGAGTTTTCAGCTTGAACGCAGTTCTCAAGTTTAGTTGTCACCAAGGTTGTGTATACTGTGGTGAACATGGTAAAATCTAACTTAGTGAATGCCCGTTTTAAAGCCCAGAGGGTTCTGTACCTCTTAGCTGTGACCTCACGGCAATGAGCCGTCGCCCTAAGATCATGACTCACTGTCACCCAAAGATCGTTGTGAGACCGGACCACGGGTACACAGGTACTTCCCCTATGCTATACCTATTAACCTTTGTATCCCCAAAGTGCATTTAGACACACTTTGTCAAGTTGGTAGGCATCAGCCACTCCTTAGATCAGTTAATCACCTTATTTATGACTGCCTGAAGTGTACATGTATCTGGGTCTCGTGTTATTACTCGCCAGATTTTTACATCAGCGTATAATAACATTGGGGACTGTACTATACATGGGAGATCATTCACATACAGTATAAAAAGTAAAGGACCTAGGACAGAACCTTGAGGTACTCCACCAACTACTGGTCTCCTGGTGGAGCACTTGGAATTTATTCCTACTTTCCGTCTACGACCTACCAGGAAATCCTTAAGCCATTTTAAAAGAAACTCGGCAATATCAGGATTTTCTAACCTCAATAGCAGTCTATTTGCAGGCACCTTGTCAAATGCTTTACTGAAGTCTATGTAGACAAATTCCAATCAATAAAATTAGCTAACCTTTCAAAATTTGACAATAGTTTATCGTTAAAATCATCTTGTTGTAATCAATGTTCAGAATGATTTGAGTTTGAATTACTAGATTGACAGATTGATCCTTATGAAAGCCACTTTGTTGATTTTAAAGCTAGGCTTATACTCAATCTTTCATTTGATTTATCAACACTACGTCTTTTTGGTATTGATAGTAATGTGATGCCTCTGTAGTTCTCGTATTCTAGTTCAAAGTATTTTACCAAACTGTCCCACTATTATTGAATTTCAGTGGTTGTTACGCTTTTCTAGTTATTGACTGGTCGCTTTGGCTTACCATGTCTTTCCGCTAACTTCTTGGTTGCACCACAGTTGTCTCATATTCCCTTCTTTTGCTGCTATTTTCGTCTGCCGTTGCTAGATCTTCCACATATTTCCTCTTATCAGATTTGATGCTCTTCCTCAATTAATGATTGGCTTTGATCATTGAAATTTAGCAGTAACTGATGAGTATATTCATTGTAGTGCTACTGAAAGTCAATCATAATCCGAATAACTTGATGTTAATATTGCTTAGTGTGAAGCAGGTTCTTACTTTCGATCAACCACTGGTTGCCTTAAATGAAACTAACAATCAATTCTGACCTATATCATGAATTTTTCTTTCCATTCTCCTAATCTCTATTAAGTTTTTTTAAAACCAACAGAAACTGCATGGCGTTTTAAAGAAGTCAGCATTTGTAGCGAGTGAATAAAACGTTTTTCTATGAAGTGGAAGGAATCGTATTTTTTTATCTGAGACCGTGGACTTTTATGGTTCGGAAAGTTTCCTCTAGATTGATATGTTCAACTATAACAAATAACCCATGCACTTATCTTCCTAAACAACAACTTTCAGTCTGGTTGTCCAGAATTAATAGTAAATTGAGGTATTAGGTGGCTGAAAGTAAATGCTAGGAAACTCTTAGTGACCTAAATTTTGTGCTGGTTAGAACTTGGCTACAAGGTGTACCTGTTCTCTTGAGGAAACTAATGAACTCTGTGGGATCCTTTTTAACCATGAAGCTTACCAACCTCACACGTTACCAGTGAGCTAAAAAAGTTGATACTGGCCGTCTATCAGAGATGTCATTGATATGGAGTCACTTAGACTATTGACCACATTGTAAATTCGATTGACACTAAAAGATGAAAGAGACATGGAGTTGATCACTAGTCAGTAATCGATTAATTATAATAAAATACTGTAAGAAATTACATTTTACAGTGAATCTCCGTTGAACTATTTACTCTCTTCATGTTAACAATGTTGTTTATACATTTGAGTGTTGCTTGAAAATTTCTAAATATAATTGAAAGCGTTTCAAACATGGTGTTCTTATATGAATCTTTTGTAAATGCATATAGTTTCATATTCAAGCGAAAAAAATTGCGATTAATACAATAAGGAATTTGTGGAGATTGTTGAATTTCATAGTTAAAGTCATGGTCTGATCATCAGTATCGAGTATGAGGCAGTTAACCATTAATGGTAATGAAAAATTGTTGTTCAATCCTCAGTGGAGTAATGAATACACTCTTAGGGTGTTCTTTATTGCCAGGAAAGCGCTGTAAACATCTAACTAGTTGGCAATAGTTGCTTAACAAAGATCAATCGGTGACGTAAACTATGAAACTTTTAATCTATTCTTATATTACTTATTATACGTTCGTCTCAACTAATGTCAGCAGCAAATCTACAACTGGAAAACATCTGGAACTCAAAATAACTGTCAACTAACACCAAAGTCAGAATTTTCACTACAAATATCAAGACAGTTCTACTGTATGGAGCGGAAACTTGGAGAGTTACGAAAGCCATCATCCAGAAGACACAAGTGTTTATTAAGAGTTGTCTATGCAAAATACTTCGGATCCATTGGCCAGTCACTATCAGCAACAACCTACTATGGGGGAGAACAAAGCAGATTTCAGTGGAGGAAGAAATCAGGAAGAAGTGCTGGAAGTACATAGGACACATATTGAAGAAAGCATCCAATTGCGTCTCAAGACAAGCCCTCACATGGAATCCTCAGGGTCAAAAGAGATGTGGAAGACTAAAGAACACATTACACCGAGAAATGGAGACAGGCATGAGAAGAATGAACAACAATATGATAGAACTAGAAAGGAAGGCCCAGGACATAGATGGTTGGAGAATGCTTGTCGGTAGCCTATGCTCTGTTGGAGGTAACAAACGTAAGCAAGTAAGTATGTAAGTATTTAACTAATGTCATAGTTAGCAACGTTAAAATTGAATTATTTATACCATAACTTATCTCATAATTAATCACTGATCAATTATCAATATCTATCGTATACTAATAATATTTATTTAAACTTTATCCATCTCAGGTTATTTTAACAGTACGTAATGCTGAATTATGGCATGCTGCTTGTCGTACAAATCTTATACCATATCAATCAAATGAATCAAAATTACAAAAAATTTTTTATAAATTTTCATTATTTACATGGTTAATAAAATTAAATCAATTAAAATTATTATCATTACAAAATACATTAGGTAATACAATTAATTTAAAAAATGATAATGAATTAATTCATGCCTATAGTCGTTGGAATGATCATGTTCAATTGATTGTACCAAAAGATCGTTTATTAATTTATAATATTAAACAAGGTTGGTTACCATTATGTGAATTTTTAAATAAACCAATACCATGTTGTACATTTCCTGGTAGAAACACAATATTTCTATGGTCATATTTATTACGTCATCTGAAAAAATTATTTCATTTTATATTGTATATTTTTATTTATTTATTTATGATTTATTATTTTTTAAATATTTTCCGATAAATATGTAGGGTGATGCTTTATTTTTTTGTCGTCGATTGTTTATTATTATTGTATCTGCCTTGGATACTACAAACACACGCACGCACGCACGCACACATACACACATGCACACACAGTGAACTACTCACAACTTGAAACAATAAACAAACACACACATCTATACATATGTATGAACATATTAATCAGTTCTGTATTATGAGTATTCTATTGTTGAACTGTTCTTTTATTATTATTATGATTCTCTGATAAATTGTTAATTATTTATTAAATATGATTTTAGGTAAGCAATTTTAAAGATGTAGGTGTGTGTGCGTGCGGAATTTTTTGTCTCTCTGTTTATTTATTGTTTACAAATTACTTCTTTTGTATACATAGTTCAAATGCGCTGTTTTTTCGCTTTTATTTTTAGTAATCAAATGTGAATAGACCTTGTAAATAAATTATTTTTTATTAATATGTCTATTCTAATTTGTTTATTCAGTACGGTGACAATTAGTTATTGATAAATAATGGATACGCCGGACATTAGTTTTTGGTTCTTTCAATTCCGTAAACAACAGCGCCATTAGGAGAAGGTAGTGAGTAGAATTTCTCTGTCAGTGGCTATATACGCGTAGCCATGTGGGAGGATTTTGAGAGGGAGAGAGGACTTTTTCTCCCTCGGCCGTACCAGGGCATTCGGGGCTTAGTGGACAGGGACAATCCATCTAGGGGAGTTGGAAAACCCTGACTCCAAACCAATAGTGCACATGGGCTCCAGGATCTTGAGGAAAGAAATGGAGTATGAACCAATCGTTGGTCACCGGCTACCATGGGACTGAATCTCCTGACGTCGCTCCACTACCTTGTGGGTCAGACCTTCATGTCGAAGGCTCCGGGTGTGGCCCCACAAGGAGACCACGTGCCTCGGTCCGGGAACCCAGGCAGTATTATAGCTCACAAAAATCAAGTGACATTTGTGGTGCATATATATTTGGTGCCCCTTTATACCAATATTTATGTGTTCAACTGAATAAATAAATAATAAATAAATGCTGGATGAGTTGATTATGTAAAGACTATTTAAATTTGTACGTAGCAGTTGTCACAGATTATTCTTAGTTGAATTAAGTTCCTGGAAAGTAGTTTTTACCAGAAAGGTTTATGTATATTGAGGGTACAGCATCCATTATGAATGGCGTTGAACGGTTGTCTTGCTACATCAGTAGTTGGTTAACGTTGGAAATTTGTACCACTGGATGTCAACCAAATAGTCAGGCTGTTAATAGATTGTTATGAAACCTGAAGATCCTAGATTTCGTTGTTTCAGGTTTAGGAGTGAATTCTCCAGAAATTCACCTCAACAGAATGGAGTGTGTAAGATCAGTGAAAAAGTTCACCGAGATGTCGATTAAAATTGTTAAACAGCAGAGCTGAAGTTTAAAAATTCTTACAACAATTTTCTAACGTGAACAACATTAACGATATAACCTACTCGAACACACAATTCAAAAGAGATGTCAGTTTTTCTAAGATGTTCAAGTGAGAGACCATTGAATATGAGGTCAAGCAGAATGAATGCCAGAATCCAAGATTGACATTGATATTGGATTCAAATCTAACAAGACTGAACGATTTGCGAACTAGTGGACGGAATTAAGACTGAGTGATAATAGATAAAAGCCATTAGAAAGTCAAATTAAGTTTCTTCGGAACGTAGGATTCAATAGTACATTCAACTGATTGCTCCACAATGATCTGTAGAGTTGCGATTTGGTCTGTACACGATCTATCTTTACGGAATTCTACCTGTTGGTCTCGAAGATGAGAGTCTATGGAGTCCTTTATCCTGTTTAACAATACCCTGTTAAAGACTATTACTGGTATTGAGAGAAGAGTGATGCCGCTGTAGTTATCACAGTTGCTGAGATTCTTGAATTCTATCTGAAACTAGTCATTAATGATTATTTTCAAATCTCGAAGCAAACATTTTATGAGAAAACTGACCAGGTTGCCTCAAAATTATGAAAAACCCATAAATCTTTTATAAATTTTGGTTAGTGTTTAATAATACATATGTGAAAATTAACAACAATGTTTTGTATTCAACGAATAAAATATTCAGGAAACTTAACTGTTAGGTCGTTAATACATTTTCCACATCCTACACCTCCATTAAACTCTTAACTATGGTGATATTTTACAGATCATTATTTTCACAGCTGAAATCGCTAACTTATCTTAACTAGATCCCCATCGAAATACTAGGAGCACTGAACCGCCATATTATTCGTAGTGTGAGAATCCTCAGCCGTGAACGTCTAAGACCCTGCCTGTGGGAATCGAACCCAGGACTTTCGGTTTCGGATGCAAACGCCTAATAATAAACCAGAATTCAACAATGTTGATGTTTAACTTCAACAAGTTCATGATATTATTTACTTACTATTTGTTGTTGATTGGAATCAACCATATTGTTGAACTGTTTATAAGAAAATGGTTATTCTGGCAACCTTATCGTAATATAAAATGTTTCAAAAGCAATCACCAACGATAAAATAAAAACGTGCAACTATTCATCATACATCTCTTTTAATTTATTTGATTCAGAGGTTTGTTTCTGGTTTAGCCATGTACGTCGTAAAAGTATTTTATGGATATTCATGTGTGTTTTACATATGACAACACATTTGAACCTGCAGTACTGGTGATGATTTGTTTTAGGTTTCATTTATTTACATGATAAAATATTCTATCTGATTAAAACTTATTGCCAAGATATGCACTTTATATCGTTGAAATGTTAACTGATTTTACAGGATTTGTAAGGGTCTTTGGTAGTGAATAGCTCGAAATAATTAAAAAAATTTTCAAATGTATTTATATAACGATTTGAACATGGATAATGTATTTAAGCAATAACAAAAATCAACTTTATCCTATCAAGAGCCGGACTATTATATCTCAATTTAGAGCATTATTTATGCATTGTATTTATATCATTCTCCCAGTATAACATTAGGTATACAGGACTCGGTACATTTAATACTCCGTTAGTGGGGCCCGTTATCTGACTTCAAGAATATCCTAATGAATGTTTGTTATCGCCTATTCTCGTATATAATCATCGACTTAAATCGCGTTAGTCAATAACAGAATTAAATAAGTCGAATAACGAGAATGGACTTTTGAATACATATATTTTGTATATGAAGCGAATGGAATAGAGAGAATCGAAACGACGCACAGTGGAGATGGCGGGTAAGCCAACTCCGTTTAGTCAAGAGTTAATCGATATTTATAGTCACATAAAAATAAGTTACAGACATATGATGAATAAGATAAGAAATGTACACACATATATGCGCTCATATAAAAACAGTCAAGATTGATAAGCAAATAAATAACAAGGTCTGAATGTGACTCAAGTAGAATGAATAGGATGGGCTGTCCGAATACTTGAATAAGGAATATGGGCTTAACATAATAGCCAACACTATACTCCATTTTTTAGTCATCAATGTTCGAAAACATTTTCGTTGTTGTTGGTATCCTTCACATTTACTGGTATCTAAACATAATTAATAATGAAGTAAGAGGACATTGATTTGAATGTAGTAGACATTAATTTCTAAAATGGTTTTTAGATTGAAAAAGAAATAATTGAAAATTAAATATTTCCAACGTTTCGCCCAACAAACTTGTCTGGGCTTCTTCAGGATTATGTCTGATTTAAGTCAATGTTAACCTGACAAATTTGGTGAATCTATCTTGAATATATCATTGACAATAGCTGCTTTTTCTTGTCTATGAAATTTCAGACATTTATACTATTGCATATTGAAATTCATGAGTCAATCGAAGCTAGACCACCATGAAAAACCTGGAAGCACTGAACGGTCTAGAGGTTAAGCGTTCGTGCGCGAGAATGATAGGTCCTGAGTTCGAATATCAAGAGGTGGGATCATGGATGAGCGCTGTTGAGGAGTAACATACCAGAATGAAACGACCGTCCAGTGTTCCCAGGTTTTATATAGTGGTCTAGATTCAATTAACTTATGAATTCAACTATAAAATTGCTAAGATTTCCACAAAACCCCTTTCTGATTTATACCATTGATTAAGTATTCTCTTTGACTATTTAAAGCATTTTTTAAATGCATTTACCACAACCTATTTGTAAGTGTTACTTGTTTTAATCTCTTCCTTAACAATAACAATAATCATTATATTAATACATAAAAAATAACAAATGGAAACCTCAGATTTGTGATGCTTAAATTATCAAAGAAGCGGTGTAGAATTATGGTCTATTTCGGCATCAGTGTATTTATCTTTACTACTATAATAATAGACCTAATCCCAAAATCGTACATTTGTCATGATGTAACAACCTAATCTATAAGATTTTACGCGCAAATCACACCATGGTCTACGGTGACTCGGCCTATCATGACAATCAGCAATATAACATCTGATACTTCCAAAGTACACATTTTTGGGCTGGGTAGAGAGTAATATATTCAATACAAAAGCAAGAGGTTACATGAGATGACTACGTCTGCATGGCCGAGTCATACCATTTCGACTGACTATTCCCGCGTTCACCATTACTAGGTGTTGAAAGGTGTTAGGTGTTAAAAGTAAATCGTCTCAGAAACTATATGTTCAGGTTCGAGAATTATGTGGTTAGAAACCAGTACCACTAAAACAGTTTACCACTTCATTTAGGTGCGCACGAATTATCCTGACACAAAAATTTGAATAAAATCATGTAGTTAGATTGAATGATAAGGCATTTTCTTTTATTCTAAAGCGTTCGAGGAAAAAAAAACGACATAGCCTCTGATAGTGTGATGAAGTTTGAAGTGCATATGATATCGACAAGGTACAAGACATCTTCATATTTATTGCCGAAACGTACCTGCAATCTTCAGGGGAATGATATTTAGAAAAACCCACACCATACAATGATCCAATAAGGTACATTAATTCAAATTCATTCAAGTTACAACTAACCTATTATAGTGCTGGAATAATTACATTAGGTCAGAACCAATATTGCTTTTTCACAGCACTAACTAGCGCTAATCAACTAAATGCATATGATTTCAAGTCACTTAAACTAGTGAAAACATGATAACTTGATCAATAAAATTTGATTAGAAACATGTAGATAATGATTATGAAACTGGTTACTGCTTGTTGATCAATAGATACAGATATATATTGAGATTAGATGGAGGTTGGAAGTAGTCGATAGGAAACCCTGGACCCGGGTTTCGTGCTACTTGGCACTCGTCAGCAAGGTGTACCTGTATTCTTGAGGGAACTGGTGCTCCCTGACGGATCCGATCCCGTTTTGCCCAGCTTCACAGTCAGAGACGTTACCACTGAGCTATCCGGGC